GTGTGGTTCTTTTGCTTGTTTCCTCTTGTCTTGCCATGGAGTACTATGAAGCTTAAATGGGAAGGCCTTTCTTGCATTCTTCTATGGATGGGAGCTCAAACCCATTGGTTGATGTGGGGTTACCTGCTTGAGTTTGGAGGCAATAAGGTTTTTCTACAGCTTTGGGTGGCTAGCTTAATTTTTATGGCTGCTAATACGTTTGTCATGATAATGACTATCTGGCATCATAGATACTCCCCACTATTTAAATGCCTTGCAAAGTCCAAGAATTCTGTGAAAATTGAGTGAGGAAATGACCCTGCAACCATTGTGGATTTGGGGATTCCCTTTGTTTAACTAAGGTTTTGACATTAATCCTATTAGAACATTTGACTAACCATGTGAAATTTAATTTGCAGCAATTAATTTTTCTGTCAAGATTGTTGTAGCAATTTGAGGGTACTGTGCTTGTAACTCTATGTAGATTAGCTTGTAGAAACAGGTGGTAGAGGGTTGAAACCATTGATGTTTAGCAAGCATAATCAAATTATATCTTTTGTTAGTTTCTGGTATTTTGTTTTTGATTATTAGTCCAGAGAAAAGAGTTCCATCGCCCATCCTTAATTACCTACCATAAACGATCAATAAATTTCCCTTATTCTCTTGTGGTCATAGTTTCTGCCCCATTACTTAATAGAAGGAATGCAGCAGGCAAGTGAGTGATACAGGAACATGCATGCTTCAGGTTTCTTTGATCCTATCATTCTGCATTGGTGAGCTTGAAAGTGCTTTGAAGGTTCGTTCTAACCCTTTAAAATCCAGTCTTGTAATTGTGCCCCAATTGTATGTCTTGCTAGAAAAATTTTCATTGCCGTAACTTTCTCAGAGATGTGTGTTTATAAATAGAAGTTAAATTAAGCTGAAGGAAACAGCTGATGGTTATGTTTATTTTCCCATTGAAGAACAGTCTCGAGTCAAAGTTTTCATACTGAGATAATTCAGCATTCACACTGTTGTATCACTGCTGTTTCTTTGGGATCCATCTGTACTGGTGTCTGAAATTTATTTATTATTTTGTTGTTGAGTCTCTGTAATTCGGGAAATGGCCTTCCTTATTCTTTATAGGTAAGAGTAGCAGGCAGACATTAGTCTGTGGAAAGTTTCCCCTGGAGATGCGGAACAGCTTTCAGGATTTGAAGTTGGTGATTGGGTACGTTCAAAACCTAACCTTGGCACTAGGCCAAGTTATGACTGGAACAGTATTGGGAGACAGAGCTTAGCAGTTGTGCATGGTATTTAGGAGACTGGTTATTTAGAACTAGCTTGCTGTTTCCGAAAAGGGAGATGGATTACTAACTACTCAGATGTTGAAAAGGTTCCATGCTTCAAAGTTGGACAACATGTTCGGTTTCGCGATGGGTTGGTTGTGCCAAGGTGGGGATGGAGAGGGGTCAAGCCTGATTCACGAGGCATTATTATCAGTGTCCATGTAGATGGAGAAGTAAGAATTGCTCTCTTTGGTTTGCCAGGATTGTGGAGAGGAGACCCGGCTGATCTTGAAATAGAAGAATTGTTTGAATTGGGAGAGTGGGTGAGATTGAACGAAAATGCCAGTAACTGGAAATCCATTAGGCCTGGTTGTGTTGGTGTAGTACAAGGATTAGGATATGAAGGAGATGAATGGGATGGAAGCACCTTTGTTGCATTTTGTGGGGAGCAGGAAAAGTGGGTGGGGCCTACATCCCATCTTCAAAGAGCGAACAGACTTACAGTAGGGCAGAAGATCAAAAGGTTAAACTGTCTGTGAAGCAGCCAAGATTCGGGTGGTCAGGTCACAGCCATGGAAGCCTTGGAACAATAACAACAATTGATGCTGATCGAAAACTGAGAATATACACTCCAGTAGGCTCCAAAACTTGGATGCTTCACCCATCAGAAGTAGAGCTAGTCGAGGAAGAAAAGCTTTGCATTGGAGACTGGGTTAGGGTAAGGTCATCAATTACAACACCAAGTCACCACTGGGGAGAGGTGACTCATTCAAGCATTGGGGTGATTCACAGAATGGATAATGGAGACATGGGCGGTATTCTGCTTCATGAAGAGGCTATGGCTTTGCAAAGCTTCGGAGCTTGAACGAACTAGGCCATTCAAAGTGGGGGATCGACAAGGTTAGGATTAGAGAAGGGTTGGTGACGCCAAGGTGGGGCTAGGGAATGGAGACTCAGGTGAGCGAAGGGCATGGAGTTGGCGTAGACGCAAATGGAAAGCTACGGGTTATATTTCAATGGAGGGAAGGGAGAGCCTGGATTGGAGATCCTGCTGATATTGTACTCGATGAAAGCCCACCCAGCACAACATGCACTTGATCAAATCCTTGCCTTCCATTCGGATTTCATTTTCAGCTGATTCCTAGAGCTCTAATCTTTTGGCTGGGAAGCTGGATGGTTAAGCTCCACTGCATTCTGAAGATAGACTTGCTCCAAACATATCTTCATAGTCAGCGGTGGGTGATTGTCGATTCAGGATTATTTACCGTTAATAAACAAGAGTACAGAGAGATGGATATCAGAGCATGAAATTGGTTTGTCTCACTGTTAATCATTGGAAAATACAAGAGCACGAGCAGCCAACTGGTCATAAATACATATATAGTTGATAAATTTAGGTAAAGTTTTTTTAAATTGTGTTTTAAAACAGAAGTTAAGAATATAATAAATATATATTTTTTAATTAATTTATGTGGAAAGAGTAAATATTAATTTTTTAATTAATTAATTAAAATTATTTACATATTAATAATTTTAAAATAAATATTAACTTTTATAATTTTTTATAAATTAATTACACAAAAATATGTTTATTACATCTTTAATTTGTCCCATAAAATAGATAAATCTATGCACATGTCCATGAACGTGGTCTTTTACATGTTCAGATTTAAAGCCTTTAATTTTTCTGAATTTTTAATTATGCAAAACGGAAAAACAGGTCGTTTTGATAATAAAATTACTAAAATAGCCTTAAAGAAATAATGCGGCGTTTTATTATAATAAGGTTATAATGGGTATTTTACTCTTTTTAATAGTAAACCGTTCTTTCTGAACTGATCCACTTCTCTTTCACTTATGGCTAAACTGAAGTTCCCTGCCTAAAATTAACCCCCATTCCCCTTTCCCCAACCAATGCTCAAACTTCTCAAAACCATTTCCATCCTCTTTTAGTCAGTGACCCAGGCCTTAATTTTCATAAAATAAAACTGGGTTTGAAATCAAAATAAACAGTGGCTATTCCTTAAAAGCAGAAGACTTTGCGTCAAAGACTAAAGCGAAGATTGAATTTTGTCTGCAACACCACCCAAAAAACATAAAAAGCTTGAATTTCAAACAAAGTTTATCTAATTATAAGTTTGTGCTTTTACTTGGTAATTGATTCAAATAAACCTGGCTAGTGGGTGTCTTATATTGGATCAAACCCACCCATCTGTTTTCTTTGCCTACAACCAAGGGAAGAAAAGTAAATGAGATAGGAGAATAGCTGGTGTTTGGATATGGAGATTGGCATGGAGACAACCGCTTCATAATTGAGAAGAAGAAAAATTGGACAAGCTCCTAACCTTAATCAACTAGAAATTTCCAGAACAAGAAAAAAAACATACAACTAAAGTAGGGTGCAATATATTAACTCAACTTGCAAGGAAGTCGAAAGAGATTCCTTCAGGGAAGTGTGATGTTCCTGGGTGATTTTAGGCTTTAGGGAGTTCTGCAAGAAGAAGAGATTTGAATGCAGTTGTAAGGACAGGTCCGAGGTGCCAAGCCTCGGACTGCTACAGTAATTTCTTTATGACCGAAGTGAAGGATAAACCCAAAGCTTCCCGCTCAAATAGCTGCATGACAGTAACAATGAGTATGCTCGCACCCGATTCCTTATGATGAGCTACACAGCAGTTATGATAGGCATCCTCCCATCGAAATATCTCTCAATTTCCCGGTCCCGAAATAACCGTTTGGAGATACACATCAGATCCCGAATATCTTGCTTGGCATGCCACGTGGATTCCTCATTGGATCTTATAAATACCCCCCCGGGCCACGTAAAAAGGTAATTGAAACCAACCCTAAGCTCTTTTTATCTCCGCCCTAAAGGTAGCCCCGATTATTGCTGACTTAAGCATCGGAGTGTCTACCTCGAGTTCCACCTTGGGGCTTTGCAGGTCATTCCGGAGTGCAAGCACGGACTGAGAAAGGACTTCTGGTTTGGTGCAATTACATTGGCACCGTCTGTGGGAATCGAACTGAAAGCTTTCTAGTTGCTCTTTTATCATGGTTCACACTCGATCAGTCCGAGCTGGTAATTCATCTCTGCCTCTTTGGCAAGGTCAACCCCCCAACAACCTTCCACCTCTGATCCCACCTCAACCCCCCAACAACCTTCCACCTCATTTAGCGACTCTTGCAGTTCTTTATTTTTCTTTTCCAGCTCTTCCTTCTCCTTCTGCAGCTGGTCACGCTGCCTCTGCAAAAGTGAGCGCTCCTTCAGGCTCTCCCTGAATTCCTGGGTTAGACGATTCACCCAGCTCGCGCTCTGCAAATCAAAGCAGAGGTTAAGGGAGAAAGGAGAGAGACACTTCGATTAACTCAAAATCAGAGGTTCATATACATTACCTGATTTCGGTTTCGAAAGACTTGATGTAGAGATCCCCAGTTGATGCCGCAGTTCACGCGCACGAAACACACAGTAAAGCTTTTCGCAGAAATTTTGTAGGAAAAAAAATGCAAGTAAACCTCTTTTTGTAGGAAAAATGTCTATTTATACTTCTGGGCAAAATTAGATCTCAACGGTTGAGATTCGTTTAATCTTACCGTTCCTATTAACACCGTTTGGAATTCAACGGCCAACCCCAAACGGCACTGTTTTGAATTCGACGGTTCATTTTTTAAAATTTGCCCGTTTACCTGTTGCAGTTATCTTTTTACGGCTGCATTTATTACACACATCATCCCATGGACAACTGTCAGATTTTTCAGACGGGCCCATTTACGCCCATTTCAACACCTTCGTTCACTTTTGCACATTTTCAATTTTTGCAAGTGTTTCACTTCGGCTCCGGCGACAGCGATCCTGCATTACATGTTTCACATCGACCTCAGTCATTATATTTTATTATGGCTCCGGCCATTACGACCTCGGTCATTATATTTTATTATTATGGCTCTGGCCATTATGACCCCCATCTTTGTACCTAAGCCTAACTCAACACTTATGTTTATTTTTATATTACACTTTTTAACTTGCATAGTGTTTCGCTTCGGTTATGGCCATAGTGACTTAGTGCAACATGTTTCACTCCGGCTCCGCCCATAGAGACATGTGCTTTACTTCGGCTATGATTACTGTGACTACATGTCACATATTCTACCACGCTTCGGCCATTATGACTCCGGTCATCATTCTTTATCACGACTCCGGCCATTATGACTCCGGTCATCATTCTTTATCACGGCTTCGGCCACCATGACTTCGGTCATCATCTCTTACTATGGCTACGGCCACATTGATTCCGGTCATTATTTTTACCATGCCTATGGCCACGATCGCTCTGATCACACTCTCTTCTTATCGCACATGGCTATGTATGCATTTGAGTTACAAATTTTATTTCTTGCTTTACTTCTATGATTTATCTGTAATTCTCTTTGTTTATGTACTCCCCTCATTATTCCCCAACAACATCATTCACAAGTGAATGACTTCGGGGGGGGGGAATAGTGTAAGGACAGGTCCGAGGTGCCAAGCCTCGGACTGCTACAGTAATTCCTTTATGACTGAAGTGAAGGATAAACACAAAGCTTCCCGCTCAAATAGCTGCATGACAGTAACAATGAGTATGCCCGCACCCGATTCCTTATGATGAGCTACACAGCAGTTATGATAGGCATCCTCCCATCGGAATATCTCTCAATTTCTCAGTTCCGAAATAACCGTTTGGAGATACACATTAGATCCCGAATATCTTGCTTGGCATGCCACGTGGGTTCCTCATTGGATCCTATAAATACCCCCGGGCCACGTAAAAATGTAATTTAAACCAATCCTAAGCTCTTTTTATCTCTACCCTAAAGGTAGCCCCGATTATTGCTGACTTAAGTATCGAAGTGTCTACCCCGAGTTTCACCTTGGGGCTTTGCAAGTCATTCCGGAGTGCAAGCGCGGATTGAGAAAGGACTTCTGATTTTGTGCAATTACAACAGTGGAAAAGTGCTAGAAACATTTGGAAGCAATTTTTTTTTTTTAAAGATATATATAAAAAAAAAAAGGAAAAATTTAAATGCACCGTTTCTTTAAAGGCTGTCCTGGTAATTTTCTTACTAGGTCAGCCTGATTTTCTGTCTCCCTTTAATTTTTTATTCATCTCTGTGCCCAAAAAATTCACTGTATGAGCAATTCTGTCTTTTTCGATGCAACAAATTTGTTAGCCCTTCCCGAGGATCTTGTCTTTGTATTTTATCTGATTTTTTTAAAAAATATAATGCAGGTCACAAAAGATGGTCTACTTATACTCTTTAAATTTTGCGAACCGGCCTGAGCACAATGATTCGCTTTCAAGTCTTAGGGTTAGAATGAGGCGGAGGTCTGGGTTTTGAATTCTGTCACTGTCGTGAGCTTTACCAACTTGTAATTTAATGGCCGCACATCTCATTTGAGGGGTGAAACATTTATCATTATGAGAATCTCAGTTGTTAACAACTAATTTATATTAACTTCCTAATTATTATTCCTGTTCAAAAAAAATATATATACTCTTTAAATTTTAAAATAATTATTATTTTTTAAAAGTAAATAAATATTGTTTATATTTTAATTTTATTATTATTAATTTATTTTTATAAATTATTTAATTATGAAAAATTTTATTTTTTATTTGTTAGAATATTAAAAATAAAAATAAATATTATTTTTAACATTTTAATTAAAAAATACAAAATAATAATTATCTTAAAATATATATTAAAGTTTTTTTTTTTTAATGTACTCGAGCTAGT